ATTTTAATATTTATTTTTTAGTTTTCGGTGGGCACAACATCTTTTGTTTGTATGTGGTGCTGAGGATCGAACCCGGGCCGCACGCATGCCAGGCGAGCGCGCTACCGCTTGAGCCACATCCCCAGCCCCCCCCAGTGGATTCTTTTCAGGTTGTTTTATCCTTTCTCAGTGGTGGGAGGAGCCCAGGGCCTCGTGCTGCTGTCCAGGGCTCTGTCCCTGAGCTGCACCCAGCCCAGTCAGATGTGTTAGTCATAGAATACCTCTCTCCCTCTCTGCTCTGGTCTGTCCCCAACAAAAACTGAGGTTAAATCCAGTGCCCAACATGACAGTGTGAGAGGTGTTGGGGACTCAGACAAGCCACGCAGGAGGCATGGGCTCCACCCCCCAAAGTGGATCACTATCCCCAAGAGACCGGCTCAGGCTCCCTGGACTGAGCGGGGTGTCAAGGGATGCCACTGGCCACTACAAGAGTGGCGTTGGACAGCCTTTGCCCCCTTCTGCACACACAGCCACTCTTGTGCACACTCGGGCCACCCTGCCATGAGGCCCAGCAGGTGCCACACTGTGCCTCAGGAACTGCGCCACACTGCGCCTCATTTCCTCATAGCTCCCCGCCTCAGGCAGCTTGTTCCAGCAGCGCACGTGGACAGGGCAGGTTCCCCCCCAGCCCCGCTGTGTGCTCGCAGGTCTGCACCCTGGTTCACACGCCTGGGCCCAGGGGTCTTGGCTGCCCGGCTCTTGGCTCTGGGATCGACTTTCGCACTGCCATGACTGTGCTGTGTCCCCAGCAGGGCCACAGCGTGCAGGAGGCCAGCTCTCTTCTCTGGTGGGGAGCTGAGCTCACAGATGAGGACTGCTCGGCACTCATGGCACCTGAGCTCAGCCCTGGGCCAGGTCTGGACACTGACCTCTCCTGGAGAGACTCAGGAGCCGGCCCAGCTCTCCAGCCAGCACTGAGCAGGAGTGTCACGTCTCCTGCAGCATGGCCAGCCCACCTGTGCCCAAAGTCAGCGGTGCCCCAGGAGAGTGGCCTCTGCTCCCCAGGAGGCCCTTTCCCCCCTGGAGCTTAGGCCTGTAGCTGTGCCTCCGTCCCAAGGGAGTGTGACTTCCTCCCTTCCTCACCTTGGGTGGGGCCGTTTTTCCAGTACTGGGGTTGGGCCCCAAGGTGCTCCACCACTGAACTGCGCCCCAGCCCTTTTCACCAATTTTTTGAGTGTGTGTGTGTGTGGGTGTGTTTAGTTGTAGATGGACACAATATCTTTCTTTTACTTATTTTTATGTGGTGCTGAGGATGGAACCCAGTGTCCCCCATGCGCCAGGCGAACGCTCTGCCGTGAGCCCAGCCGGCCCCTCGCCCCTTACTCCAGCGTGGGAGGACCTGAGAGGCACAGCCGACTCTCCTCCTGGGAGCAGCCCCTGGGGACACGACAGCAAGATGCTCCTCTTGTCTCAGGACTGCACTTGGACACATTGTCAGGAAGTTGGGGAAAGCCGAGTGTCGGCACATGATCAGGAACTGGCTGTGGAATTTCTTCAGAGTCTCTATGAATCTGACATCATTTCAAAACAAACTTAAGAACCTGCAGAATGTTACTTAAGAGGAGGAAGAAGAGCGAGAAGGAAAATCTGTGGACATGAGGACCACACCTGCCACCTGTCACCTGCAACCTGGGAGGCCGAGGCAGGAGGTCGCCGACTGAGCCAGGCCCAGCGAGTCAGGACTCTGTTTCAACATAAAAGGGCTGGGGGTGGCTCAGCGCAGGACAGCCCTGGGCTGAGTCCCAGGGTTCCATCGAGAACCTGATTTCTTGAGATGAATGCTGAGACCACAGAGTTTGAACTCTCTTCCCTTTTCTGTGTGTGTGTGTGTCTGGGGTGACCCCGGGGCCCTGTGCGGGAAGTGCCCGGCCACTGGCCCCACCCACCCTGCGTCTCTCTTCGGTGTCCAGCTCCGGGCTTCCCACAGTTGGGGCATGTTTTCCTCTCAGTTCTCTGCTGGGTCCAATTTTGGTATAATTTCAAGATCTTCAGTGTTGCCCAACTTCTGTATGATTTTGTGCGTAAACCTTTGGGGACTTTCTGGCCACCTTCTGCCTGCTCAGGTCACTGTCTAGGACCGCACTGGAGGTGCCCCTGGCTCTGGTCGGAGCCATGTGCATCGACACAGGTCTCGTGGGTCACACCTGCTGTCCGTGCTGGGCTCAGCGTGGCTCAGTGGCTCAGTGTCCATGGACTTGCTGGGTATGGGGGGGCGCCACCGTCAACCCTGCAGGCCACCCTGCAGCCTGGGTGGCCACAGCAGGACACAAGGTCAAGGCCAGACTGACAACTTGGCGAGACCCTTCTTCACAAACAAGTAAATAAATAAAAAGGACTGGGGTGCAGTTCAGAGGTGGAGAGGCCCTGGGGCGCCTCCCCAGTGCGCAAGCTTGGGGAGGGGCGGGGCTCACTGGACAGCACCTGCCTGGCACATGTGAGGCACTGTGCTCGGTGCTCAGCACCACAAATACATAAATAAAATAAAAAATTAAATAAAAAACACCAAAAACCTAAAAAATAAATAAAGCTACTTGCATTTAGTGTGATCATTGATGGAGTTGAATTAAACTCTACCATCTTCTTTTTTGACTCTTTCTTTTTTTGTAGGAGGATGGACCCAGAGGTGTTCTACAGTGTGCTACACCCCCAGCCCTCATTTTGAGACAGGGCCTGAGGCTGGCCTTGAACTTACAATCCTCCTGCCTCAGCCTCCCAAACTTCTGGGATTACAGGCATGTGCCACCATGCCCAGCTAAAAGTTCTTTTTATTTTTCTAATTATTTTTTAGGTGTAGATGGACACAACACAATGCATTTTATTTTTATGTGGTGTTGAGGATCGAACCCGGGTCCCGCCCGTGCTAGGGGAGTGCTCTACCCCTGAGCCACAATCCCAGCTCCTAAAAGTTCTTAATTACTGTATTTTCCATTCTAGAATTCTGTTTGTATTCCTACCGTTATTCTCCTTTTTTTTTTTTTTTTTGGTCCTGGGGATTGAACTCGGAGGCCCTCACCCCCCCAGGCCTCGCTGTTGCGGAGGCTGCCTTGAACTCGACCCTCCCACTGCGCCTCTTGTCCACCTCTGCCCGCCTTGAAGACACAAGTTTTCTGATGACTCCAGTTTTGGGGCACGGGGGCCTGTGCCAGGCGGTCTGCATCTTGCTGGGTCCTTGGTGGAGTGCCTCTCTGTTCACGTTTGGCTTGGTGTTCCGTGGCTTGGCAGCA